TTGCCGTGGTGCTATCGACCGGGTCGCTGCTGGTCGGAATCAAACCAGGCGTCGGCGCCGTGGCTGTCCCGGCTTCCTCGAGTGCCGGACCATCCTCCACCTCCACCGCCATCACTGCTGCTGCCGCCACCGCCGCCACCGCCGCCGCCACCACCACCACCACCACCATCACTACCATCAGCGGCAAGGGCAGCAGGCACCAGCACCGCCACCTCCGCGGAGGTTGCACGGCTGTTAGCCCTCGGCGCGTTAGTAGTGCCCGGGATACAGTCGATCGCGCACGCGAAGGGTGCGGGTCGTCCTGGGGGTTGATTGTTGGTACGCGGTTGCTTGTTGGCTGGTTATCCGGCGGTGGTTCGGCAGTCTCTCGCTTTCGCATGTATAAGCCCGCTCGCGACGGATTCGTCGTCGCGTCGCGATTCGGACAGCCAGCGAGAGGAGGCGTTCGAGCGAGGAGTATGGGAATTTGAATCGGCAAACGTCTACACCGCCTGCTTCAATCGCGGGCTCGACGACGCTTCGAGCGATTTGGGCCGCGCTCGAATGCGTGATCGGCGTCGTTCTCAAGAGCGTAGAACGTCACCTTTTCGGACTCTTAACGTGTGATGCGAGCCATGTCGAATGGATCGAGGCGTTACGTGCTGGTGCGTGTGGTACCGGAGCGATAGAATCGACCGATCGTCTGGACCGATACGGAAGTTATTTGACCGAGGATACCCCTGAGTGATTCCATTATGCCACTATGTGATATACGAGGAGACAACGTTAGATAAGAAGTTGGATGTTTCTCGGTGCGTTCCTCACATTTTTTTTTTTTTTGGAATTGTCCTTGTAAATAACGCAATGCGATGTTCCTGATCAATTAATTAACATTTCGAAGTTGAATGAACGACATTATCTCACATTCAGTGTGAATAATTGTATTGAGTTGTGCTTCTGTAAACATTACTTTTCCTGGTTATATTCGTTGAATCTGAAACATATGGCATCGAAACATCATCGATGATAACTCGGAGATTTGAAGAAATCCGCGCATCGTTTTCGATCAATATGAGTTTGTCGCGTACACATATATTGTAGGAAAGAGTGAAATTACACCAACAATGGTATAACTACGTAATAAACTTCCGTCGATTATTATCGTGCGCGAGAAAAGAATACATCACAAGTCGTTAGTTTTTCCAAATTTTGTAGACTACTTTATTGAAGAGAGAGAGAGAGAGAGAGAGAGAGAGAGAGAGAGATTGAAAATATTCAGGATTATTAAATATATATTAATTGAATTTATCATTTACAGAAAAAGTGAATAATTAGTATTTAAACGAATTTACGTTTACAAAAACACACGCATTTATTTTATGCAAGTTTTAATATGTTCTTGCTATTTTAATTTCCCCATTTTATTTAATTCTTTTTACAGATAAAATGATTATGGATTGGATTTAAGCATATATAATTTTGTTATAAATGCGAATAAGTATCAGTTAATAATTAAGATAAAATTGAAATATAAATGTTCTCATCCGCAAAAAAAAAATCGAGGCATTGTAACGTTATATGGATAATTATAAATAATGAACAGGATTTTTTGTTATGCGAAATAATTAATGCATAAAATAATATTTGATTATTTTAATCATTTCTAATTTGTAATTATTAAATTGAATATTTTATTATATTGTAAAAACTTTGAAATAATTTAATGATAAATCCAACAATAAAATCGCATTTCAGAGTAATGCATTTTTTTTTTTAATAGAATATTTTTATATTCACAGAAATCGCAGTAATGTTATATTTCGATCATGTTTAGCGTATCGATCAAAATTATTATGTAAAGATAAGGTATGATAGGAATGAATTGAGGGAGAAAATGATTATGAGGCTAAGCCTCAATTTCGAAGATTGGGGCTTCGTAATTTTGTAAAATGGATCACCATCAATTCTCTTTGACTCATCCATTTCTTACAGGACGCGCTCTCGTTGATCCGTGCAAAAATGTCACGCCGGCACTCGTGCAATTTCCGCGATAATATATCGGCGTTTTTCCTGCTAAGGATCTGTTCTTCCTTTCACGTTATACCGTTGCCGCCTCAATAATTTCTCATATAGATTCTTCTCGCGGATCTGGAAACTTTGAACTCCATCGTCGGTGAATTATTAATCGTCCGGTCGTCCCCCTACCTTCTCTTCCTTCCACAATTAGCGTGAACTTCGGAATTTAATTTTGCTCGCCAGACCAGATTGTCGCGCTTATATGATTCAGCATTGGCATCCCGTTTTTGCTCGCTCGCTCGAATGGCGCGGAATCGGAGCGTAACGATAGTTTGCTCCTCTTTTTGAACTTGCGAAGGTTGCGTCGGCATCGCGCAGCTCTGTCGAAAGACCCTCGGGGAATCCGATCTGCAAAGTACTTAGGAGACAAGTCAGACTAACTTGAGAATCGGGAATACTTGCTTCAAACTATAACCGGCACGCTCCCTCCGAATGACAGAAGCGCGAGAAAAAATTTTCGTATATTTGCTGTATAAATGTAATCGTGTGAGTTGAGATTAAGAGAATGTTAAATTAATCAAATTTTGTATGAACATTCAAATTGTGTTATAATAATATATAACTATAGCATTGGAACTTTTACATAAATAGGTATATTTATAGGTGGCACGCCGCGCCGTTTACATTTAAGCGAACTTTGATTTCATAATTCTAGAAGTTACTTTCACGTATCTGAATAACATTGATAAATATTATGACACGAGAAATATTATGGCAGTTACGGTTTATATTAATCTCTTTTTGATGGATAAATTTTTGTATCTTTTTTAAATATTTCTTTAAATGCGAATAAAAAATAAACGAAAAATACTGGAGAATAAGTAAGATTTTTAATTTTAATTTTCGGTACTCGCATTTATGTCCCACATTTTTGTATTTCGCTATAGTACGATAACACGTATTTGTCATTGTCACAAGAAAGTAGATGGTATACTTCTTACTTTGGCACGTTTACCAGAAGTTTCGGAAAGTAAAAGTAGGGGGAACTCGAGAAAAGTCTGCGTTTATGTGGCTTGGTCTTAATTGTACGCTCGACGAAAAACTGTATTACGTCGTTTTCGCCACATATAGGTGGATCTTCACGTAAAGCTCGCTATTTCACTCAGCGTTTGGGAAAAGGCAATATCAAAGCATGAACTGAAAGCTTAGTGATAATTTAAACGCAGGCTGCCTCTTTTTCTCCTCGCGAATCAAGGGGGAGAAGAAGATAAAACGCGTTTCTAAAACTGTAGCGCCAAATACAGCAGGGCTAGGGATAGAGTATATAGTTTACCTCAAGTTGGAAATTGGGAAATTCTTGCATAGCCGCACAGTCGAATGCAATCGGATTTCGCGTTATTCGAGCAGTTTGAGCAACTCATTCGAATCAAACTACATCGTCATTGCAATTAATTAGATTTTGTCGAGCGGCCGGCCGTGCGATTCGATTTTTCACCGCGGGATTCTGGTGTAATGTATATTAATTACTGGTTTTAACGAACGTAAATTTCAAGTCCGGCGTCGCTGAATTCTCGAAAATTCGATCTAAAAGGGTCGATGCATACATCTGCATATTAATACTCAATCGGAATGGTCAAATTTGCGCTATTACCACAATGGGGTCAGTTTTCACCGCGGTAATATATGGAAATACATATCGTATTATCCTAGATTGGAGAGCAAAATATCTACTTCGTTTCTCGTTATTTTATGACAAACGGAAAAAATAGAGAGCGGCTTTTGAAATTACGTAGCATTAATAACGAAAATCAATAAATTAAAATTTGAATATTCCATTTATCAGGTGCGCGGATATATTTATACCAGGGAGTATCCATGTTCAAAATAAACGTATTTTTGAAGCAATTGATACAATAAAGATTAAATGACTATATATACCTATAGAAAATGTAATAGAAGATGAAGTATTTTCGAAATTTGCTAAACTTATGCAGGATTAGAATAGGGGTGCTAAAGGGACGTCGTTGATGGTTATATATATACATATATACGCTTCGCACGCACGATTGTTCCTTCGAAGGTATATTGAGCATACATTTTTCCAGTTCACTGGGCAGATAGTAGCAATTTACGCGCCATATTTCTCGGGTACGAAGAGCAGCTATTTCTGCTTTCATAAAATTTTGAATCGTACATGTAACGGAGGTCCTTTCCAAGTTCATAAATTTGTGCAACTGCCGTTTGAGTTGGTCGAATCTGACGTGAAATTAATTTTCAGAGAAGCCACGTAACGAAGCGTCCTTTACATATTGTTGCAGCGTGTTGAGGGGCGCGCGGCGAGGCGAAAGCAGGCGGTTTCCGGGCGAGACCGAGAAACGGAAATCCGAGGATCGAGGAGTCGTAGTCGAATGATTCGACCTTTCCCGAGGCGATTCGTAGTACACGCGACGTTGAGGACGTTTTGAGGATTCCACGCGCGAGTCGGCAACTCCGAGGGCGGTGCCATCGAACCATCGCGTACCCTGGGTGCCGATGATTCCATCAGGATCATTCCCTGCCGACGATTCGAGTTCGTCGATCGTCACCGGAGCGTCGTGTATACGCACGTGTCGCGCGGTAACGACGATCAGTCGCCAGATTGGCAGCTCAGCGTCAACGCGGGCAACGCATGCACCTGAGAATGGAAATGAGAGTTTGCTCGGAGCCGATCAGCAGCAGAAGAAGCACAAGCAGCAGCAGCAGCAGCGCGATAATAGTACCGAGTCGCTATTCTAAATTCGAAACGGCGGACGAGGAGCGAGAGCCGCTTGGAGGGTGTGGGATTAAAGGTGGCGGCAAGCCGTACCGGAAGCTGTGGGAGTGGGTGGACGGTAGCGACGGGATAAAGGTGGTGGCGGCGGCGGCGATAGGAGTACAGGAGGGTAAGCGCAAAAAATTGCCGGCGGCAGCGAGGACGGAGGGCCGAAGGACGGGCAACAAGACGGCGGCGGCGGCGGCGGCGGCGACGACGAACGAGAAAGAGAAGCAGAAATCGGAAGCGGAAGGGGCAAGGGGTCGTCCATCAGCAGGAGGGCCCCACAGATGCGGGGTCCGCAGGGGCCAGTCCGCGGCGGCGTGACGCGATGCGGATGTCCTCCTCCTCTTTGCCGAGGAAGAGGAAGAGGAAAGACCTCTCGCCTCCCGACACCGTCCTTCTCACCGACGACGACTGGCAATCGTCAGTTAAACATGTCCTTCAACAGCAGCGTCTTCCGCAGCTCGGTATTATCGTATCGTATCGAACGCGGCGCGATATTCTTCATCGGAGACAGGATGTTCGCTCGGCGCGTCACGGAGTTCCTGAGAAGCTGGGGAATCGCCAAACAAGCGGAATTTCCGGTGAACGGTGCTGTAAACGAAGTGAGCGGAAAGGAGGCGAATGCGGCCAGGGACGCGACGGCGAAGAAAATAAACGAGACGAGCGACGAGAAAGTGCGAAGGATATTGCGGGTAAAGTCCTTCTTCGGAGAGTCCCATCCGAAGGCGGGATCGCCAAAAGCGTCTTCCTGCTGGCGCTCCTCTGCGCCCAATGCTGCCTGGCGGGTGCCGAAGCTCTGGCCGGTACTCAAAAGTATTGCACCAGAACGATCAAGACGCGATACGGCACCCTGCGCGGCATCGAGGCTAGATCGTCGACTGCCGTCGAGACTTATTACGGCGTGCCGTACGCGACGCCGCCGCTCGGCGCGTTGCGCTACATGCCGCCGGTCACACCGACACCCTGGCGCGGCATCAAGTTTGCCGATACTATACCGCCGGCCTGCCCGCAGCGGCCACCGGTACCGGACGAGGGCTTGCCGCGGCAGAGACAGGCCTACCTCAAGAGGCTGGTGCCAGTATTGGCCAACCAGAGCGAAGACTGCTTGTATCTGAACCTCTATGTGCCCAAAGCTCCTCACGGTAAGTCGGATATGTTATCCTAAAGAATATGGTTCTACTGCCTCTAGTAAGCAAGAAACATCTTGAAACGTTCCGATAATATTGCAGCAACCTTACAACGGTGTTGTAATGTTATTGAAAGGTTTCCAGATATTTTTTGTTTACTGAAGAGGGAAAGAATTCCAAGGTCATGGGCGAGTGAGAGTAAAGCGTTGTTGTTGATACGCAATCAATCAAGACGTCGATTCCTATCAAATCCTAATTTATTCTTGACAATATATGGTAGGTAAATAGTGCGTTTCGACTCCTTTTTGAGTCCTCTTCAGCGAGTACATATTAAAACTAAAAAGTTCCTTACAAGTCTTGCAAATCGAGTCATATCCAATTGACAGATTAGATGTTAATTTATCTTACAAAACCAACGAGGAATTACATGAAGAAAAAATGGATCGTTCTTTTCATATCAAAAACGTTAAATAAATTGTTACAGCACTCAATATCTAATAATATTACTATGATAATGTGATTTTAGATGTTTTCATATCGTGTTACACTTCAAATGTTGAGTTTAAACGTGTGACACGATAATGAAAACATGTGTCTAAAATCACATTGTCGCAGTAATATTATTAGATATTGAGTGTTGTAACAATTTATTTAACACTTTTGATATGAAAAGAACGATCCATTTTTTCTTCATGTGAATTTCTTGTTGGTTTTGTAAGATAGATTAACATCTAATCTGTCAATTGGATGTGACTTTTGATTTGCAAGACTTGTAAGGAATTTTTTAGTTTTAATATGTATTGGCTGAAAGGAGGACTCAAAAAGGAGTCGTACTATTTATATAGTCAAGAATAAAGGATTTGATAGGAATCCACGTTTTGATTGATTGCGTATCAACAACAACGTTGTATTCTCCCTCGCCCTTGACCTTGGAACTATTTAAATCAGGAGAGTCCGTAAGGAGATTACGTTTTGGAATTAAAGAAAAAATCTTGCTTGATAGAATAAACTATAAACAGGGCTGGGCAAAATACATCATTAAAGTATTTGACATACAAAATACTGGTAATCTTAATTAGTATTTGAATTACAAAATACTTTCAATCTTTCGATTTTGAAATACAAAATATAAAATGCTTTCAAAATCTGTATTTTAAATACAAAATACTTTTTTTTAAGTATTTTAAACACTTCCAAATTTTGCATTTTATATTTCATCGGTTTTATTCAAATAGAAGCAATTTAGCACAAAAATAAACATCGTGTGCCGCAGGCTTTATATACAATGTTAGTAGCAGGATTTCTCTAATGTTTTATCGACGATTATCACTATAATTAGTGACATCGCCGACAGCCATTGGCAAGGACAGTTTTGAAAAAAAGCGCGACACTCATTGGATAGTTAACGATATACCGTCGATAACAACAATCGTCACTAAAATGTTTAGAGAATCCCGTTACAGAACAAGAATAGACAAGTCAAGCCAAGAGCCAAAAGCCAGAACAAGAGATGACTTACAACTATAGTGATACAAAGCCTTATAATGCAAGTTGCTTCAGCTGCTTGCAATGGCCAAGATATAGGTTGAAATCATATTATTCCCATTGCTATTGCTGTTCCCCCGCATTTTGTTTAGGGCTTCACTCTCTTGCACCCTTCAAAAATTCTGTTGCTCTATATTATTAATCGCACGAAAACCTCACGAGAAACCTACTTTCTTGTGCGAGATCATGAGATTTGGTAATATATTGATGACTTAGCAGTGCTTAAAAGTTAACGAAAATAATCAGTATCGCCAATTGTCATATGAGAAAAAATATATATAAGTTACTATTATTCTTGTTTAAAGATTATTATCAAGGATTTGTTGATATTTCAAATACAAAATACATTGAAATTGTATTTGAAATTCAAAATACATAGAATAACCTTCTTGAAATACAAAATACAAAATACATTTTGTAATGTATTTGAAATACAGTTTGTATTTCAAATACAAGTATTTGAAATGTGCCCAGCCCTGCGTTTATAAAGAATGGTTGCATTTAGCAGATAAAGTAGCTTTGCACCTATTGTGAAATTCTTCAATACGATTGGTTTTTGCTTTTGATTCCACTCGTATTGAAGAATTTCACAATAGTTGCAAAGCTATTTTCTCTACTGAATGCAGCCATTAAGTATGTTAAAGCATTTATTTTGATAATGACTGTTTTAGAAAGGATTCTAAATTTTCATTTTTTGGCGATAAATTTTACTATAAATACGATTTTTATTTAATATATTATACGTGGATATATTATAGCATACTTTATATGTACTATATATCACTTTATTCTAATATGCTCTATGAATTCATGTATATATATATATATGTATATTTGATATAAATGCACATAGAAATATTTAAGCACTAAAATTTATTTTTTTTAATCCAAAAATAGGATTTCTTTTATTTAATTAGATTAATTTTCATCGGTCTTTTTGAAAAATTGTATAAAATAGTAATATGATCTATAAAATTATATTGTTGCTCTAGATTATTCTTTATGCTTTCTAGAAAATAAATTTTTTTATAATTTTTTAAAAAATAAAACAATTTTACGCGATTAAAAAACTTTTATAAATTTAAAATTAAAGAAACGATTGTGAAAATGTTTTTACATCAACACTGCACACAAAGCATTTTCTTTTTTTTTTTTTTAACTAGAGAACAATGTTAAAAAAGCTTGTAACAATATTTCACATATCTATATGTTCCGTAGGACTTATATTTTCTGTTATGTTTGAGATAGAAACACTGGTATTCTAAATCCTAAACAAAATTCTCGTGAAAAATACGTGAAAATACGTAAAGCTCTTGCGATGCGCTGTTTGGAAAATCCTGTTCCGTGCACCATACGGTCCATTGTCGAATACGAAATTCGCCATGGAAACATAAGCCAAAACTTTTCGGACCGTATCTTACGACGTAAAAGTTTGGTGATATTTTCGTGAGACTCTGTTTCGAAACATCGTCCAATTTTAGGTAGATTGCTCAACTTCGCCGCCAACCACCAAGGGGAACGAGAGAGAGAGAGTCGCGCAATTTCATTTCGTGATAATCTGATTATCGAAGCATTCGGGAATGCAGTATCGGTGCGTTACGATGACAATGACATCGCGCGTGTATAATTCTGCGCGACAAGTAGATATATGTATAATGTATCTGCGGTATGCGCATGCATGAGTGTTTGGCTCGTGAACTTTTTTTTCTTCAACGGATGCACGAGCCTTGTTAGATATTTTCACGGAGTTTCGCCAATGATGCTTCACTTCCGTTGAAATTACGTTTAGCCAATTCCGGCGCGATCGTTTCTATTTACAGTGCAATCCGCCCTCGCTGGACATACAATTGCGCGTGTATTGTATGTACACGACGTGGTATAATTCGGCAGAAAGTCCAGACAACGAGGAGTAATGAACTCTCATGGAATTATTCATTTAGAAATTATCTTTCTCGCATTTCATCGCATCATAAAGAACCTTGTAAGTCGCCTACATTTGGAATTTGGGTGAACCTCTCAGCGCAGAGCGAGAGAGAGAGAGAGAGACCTTAATTGCTTGTTTAAGCTTCTTGCTCGTGAAAAAATACAGAGAGTTGAGAGAGGGAGATTTTTAAATTTATATCTAACAATGTAAGGTTATCTCATGAATGATCCACGATATTACGTATCATTGATTAGCGTATATCTTTCATCCCATCTTTCTCATCCCATCCTTTCTGATTATTCATGCATCCAGCACGCAGTTGAAATACGAAACGCAAAGAGAGCGCGAGAAGATTATAGCGACTGTGAGCAATAATTTTGCCAACCATGTTAAGGGAGGGAAATAGCTGTTTTCACGCTTCCTTTCGCTTTCATTTTTATTGTGACCACATCAGATATTCTATTTCGATACGGATGGTGTAGTCCCATATGCTATCTATGTCTTTGGTTAAAGCTAATTTCAATACGGCGTACAGTCGAGGGAGCATGGAAGGAAATAGAAAAAAAGTATCGCGCTTCGCGCAGTCGAGAGCTGAGGACTCGATGCGGTGATTTTAGTGGTCTCTCCTTTTTGCAAGAAAATTCCTCTGTTCCTCTGCACTTCTACCCTTTTGTCGCTCTTCTCTGCCATCTCTTTCTCGCAGCTTTTAGAATGGGGATTGGAGATAGAGCGGGAACGGGTGTCTGTAACAAAAGAGCGGATCTATCGCTCGCGGAGACGTTTTTCTGATTGCGAATACAGCGAGAGACTTTCAGATGAAGTGTAAACGCGAACCAATATACGGATCACAGATATGGAGATCAACAGAGAGCGGGACTGCATCCCGCGATAAATTTTCAGATAGGGATTCGGTCGGATTTGTTGAATTCTGTAATATCCCCGGTTGTGTGTATAAAGATCTGACCTAGTTCGGTTCTCTTGAACAGTTTGGCTTTGCTGCGCTTTAAAATAAATATGTCTATTCCAATTTTTGATAAGAGAGCACCAAGGAGGTATCGCATATATCAAAGAAAATTTCTATCTCAGAGAAAGGATTTGTCATACATATTTAAGGCGATGCTGGAGAGACGGCCGAACTTAATCGATGTCGACAAAACAGATTTTTAATTCCAATTAAAATATATTGCATACATCAAGAAAATATTTACATACGCATTAAGTGAAACATTATACGTATATTAAATTAAAACGTTACATATACATTTCTTGTTCTGCTATATCCTATATATCGCTTGAATGTGAGGTTATGTACACTCAAATCGTATTTCTCGTGTGCCATTTCTTTTGTACGCTTCAAAATCATAATTTGAAGGTCTCATGATAATCTTATAAATTAGTCGAATCCGGAAAAGTCTTTTTTGTTTAGATATATATGATTGCATTCATTTATATATATGTGAAGAAAGAACCTACATGGTAATTTTTGGGAGATTCTCATACCGGTTTTGGACTTTCCCGGACTTGTTTGTGTTTTCCCTTTCATTCT